AATTTAGTTTGTTACAGTGTGTGGAGCAGCGTCCCCTGTGCGCGTTACAGGGAAGAACAAAGTCTGACTCCTTGTTGGATCTCTCTCTTTAACCTTTACTTGCTTTTGTTCACTAAAAGAATACCAGTTCAGCTCAGTTCACTCAGTCATGTCCAACTCTTTGCAACCCCATGGACTGCAGCATGCCAAGCCTCCCTGTCCATCGCCAACTCCCAGAATTTACTCAAACTCATGTCCACTGAGTCAGTGATGCCATCCAACCATCTCATCCTCTGTCATCCCCTTCTCCTTTCACCTTCGATCTTTCCCAGAATCAGAGTCTTTTTAAATGAGTCAGCTCTTCGCATCAGGTGGCCAAAGTATTGGAATTTCAACTTCAACATCAGTCCTTCCAAAGAACATTCAGGACTGATTTCCTTTAGGATGGAAGGGTTGGATCTCCTAAATATACATAATGTCCTGCCGCAGGGAACCCTGCCCATCTGCCTGAAAGTTAAACCAAAGTGCCTTTATTCAGGCAAACACCTTGACTCTGTCTGCCTGTGAATGGCTACAGGGAAGAAGAAATCAACACATCCCCTTCCTGAGGCTGGCTATTCCAGGAGATAATTGCAAGATTAATGGCCTTTTTAAAAAAATTCATTTTTAATTGGAGGATGATTGCCTCACAATATTGCATTGGCTTCCTCCAAACAACAACACAGATCAGCCACAAGCGTACAGACCCCTCCCTCCTCAACCTCCTTGTCACCTGTCCCCTTGCTCCAGGGTATCACAAAGTACAGGGTTGAGCTCCCTACGCAGCAACTTCCCATTAGCTATCTGTTTTACATTACTTTACTTCCACAGCCTTTGACTGTCTAGATCACTGGATTACTTTACTTCCACTTAGACTGCGTGGATCACAACAAACTGGAAAATTCTTCAAGAGACGGAAATACCAGACCACCTGACCACGAGAAATCTGTATGCAGGTCGAGAAGCAACAGTTAGAGTTGGACATGGAACAACAGAGGTTCCAAATAGGGAAAGGAGTACGTCAAGGCTGTATATTGTCACCCTGCTTATTTAACTTATATGCAGACTACATCATGCGAAGTGCCGGGCTGGATGAAGCACAAGCTGGAATCAAGACTACTGGGAGAAATATCAATAGCCTCAGATATATAGATGACACCATTCTTATGGCAGAACGATGAAAATGAAAGAGGAGAGTGGGAAAGGTGGCTTAAAACTAAACATTCAGAAAACTAACATCATGGCATCTGGTCTCATCACTTCATGGCAAATAGATGGGGAAACAATGGAAACAGTGACAGAGTATTTTTTTGAGCTCCAAAATCACTGCAGATGGTGACTACAGCCATGAAATTAAAAGACGTTTGCCCCTTGGAAGAAAAACTATGACCAACCCAGACAACATATTAAAAAGCAGAGACATTACTTTGCCAACAAATGTCCATCTAGTCAAAGCTATGGTCTTTCCAGTAGTCATGTATGGATGTGAGAGTTGGGCTATAAAGAAAGCTGAGCACCAAAGAATTGATGCTTTTGAACTGTGGTGTTAGAGAAGACTCTTGAGAGTCCCCTGGACTGCAAGGAGATCAAACCAGTCAACCCTCAAGGAAATCAGTCCCGAATATTCACTGTAAGGACTGATGCTGAAGTTGAAACTCCAATACTTTGGCCACCTAATGTGAAGAACTGACTCATTGGAAAAGACTGATGCTGGGAAAGATTGAAGGCAGGAGGAGAAGGAGATGACAGAGGATGAGACGGTTGGATGGCATCACTGACTTGATGGACATGAATTTGAGTAAGCTCCAGGAGTTGGTGATGGACAAGGAAGCTGGGCATGCTGCAGTTCATGGGGTCGCAAAGAGTTGGACACGACTGAATGACTGAACTGAACTGAACTGAACATCCTCAGCACCCGCCATGTTCTATAAAAGAAACTGGCATCCAGACTCCAATAAGATGCTTATTTTGAGACATTAGTCTGCCATCTTCTCAGTCTACTGGCTTTTCAAATAAAGTCATTATTTGTTGCCTCAATACCTTGTCTACAGACTTATTGGCCTATCATGCAGTGAGCAGAGTGAAGTTGGACTCAGTAACATGCTAAGGGGTTGCTTAAGAGTCATTTGGCTTTGCCTGAGCTGCATCTCCCTGGAGGAGGGCATGGGAACCCACTCCAGGATTCTTGCCTGGAGAGTGCCCACGGACAGAGGGGCCTGGCGGGCTACAGTCCACGGGGCTGCAAAGGGTTGGACGTGACTAGCGACTAAGCACAGCTGCGTCTCAGAGCATCACAGCCCACCTGCTGCTTCCTGACGACAAGTTCTCGCCGACAGACAGATGTGCCGCAGCTCGGGTGCCTCAGGGTCGAGCAGGTGAACAGAGGTCAGCCCAGTTTTGGTTTACCAAGTCCTTTCCTCATCTGTCCACTCACCAGGTCTTGGCAGCCTGAAATTTATCACAGTTCCCTAGGAAGGGATAGTTGGGATAGACGGGCTGGTTCTCAGAAACCCCAGACAGGCTGGGGCCCAGCCTCCTGGTGAGATCAGACGAGGGAGCCAGACCCTCCGCAGAGTGTCTCAGGCACCTAGGAGGAAGGCGTACATTCTAGGAGGCCAAGGAGACATTAGACTTCACTCCTTTTGTTCCCTTTACTTCTCATCTGCTTCTCCTGGACCAACGCCCCCAAGGACTCATCCTCAAAACATCAGATGGACAGAAAGGGGTGCCCAGCCCTCACCCCTCATCCCTGCTCCATGAAGCTGGGCTGAGCCCCTTGTGACCAGGGTAAGCCTATGAAGTAGGGGGACCAGAGGATTCAGGGGGATCCATAATGAGGGTTCTTCCCTGGGGACTGGGGGCATACTTCTAAGATGCACTCCTCCAGAGGATAAATCTTTGGGGTGCACCCTACACCCTGTTAGACAGTTAGACTAGGGAAACAGGGTCCAAGATGGTGATCAGAGGAAGTAGTGACTAGGAAAAAAAGCCCACAAAAAAGAGGAAGCCATGGAGCAGAGTGAGAACCTCTAGTGGGAAAACGTACCCCCTTCCCTGATTGGTCTTGGGCATAACCAATCAGACCCAGAAAAGTACAGGCCCCTATTTCCATAGCGTGTGACCAGTCAGGCCCCAGAAACTCACTCAAGGGAGGGAACAAGGGACATAAAAGAGGGAAGCCAAAACCGGGACAGGACCCGCCTGGGGGCTGATCTGCTCTCACACACTTGCCGCATGTCCAGTAAATCCTGCCTGAGCTGTAGCTGGACTGCTGTTTCAATTCTTTGCTAAGATGAGACAAGAACCAAGGAAGAAGACTTGACCTAACAACCTGAAAACTAGTTCCATGGGGTCCAGATACACCAGTTCCTGAAGGGAAAGGATATGACTCCTGGTCTTGTGCTTACAAACAGCTCCCTGAACAAACCCAAAGAATTTAGAGACGAACCAGACATCTTGATCCCACAACTGGGCACAGAGCATGGCTCTCACAGGTTCACTGGGTGAGAATAATATTCTTTTTTTTTTTTTTTAAAGGAAAAGGGAAAACTTTATTGGCTAATGCAACAGAAGAGCCCAAGGATGGATTTCAAGCATGGCTGGATCCAGGACCTCAAACAATGTCTTTAATGTTCTTCTTCCATCTCACCAAGGGTCTGCTCCCTTATGCACTAGAGTCACTATTGGGTCAAATGTCCTCACAAGGCAGCAAAGATACCCACAGTTCATGTGCCCCCTAGAAGGGTGCTGCAGGAGCTTTCTTCAAGGAGTAGTCAGTCTCCCAACAGCGCAGTTAGCAGACAGCCTCCAGGGGCAGCCCCAGGAGACAAGAGGAAAGTGAGAAAAAGTCTAGGGGTTGTATGGGAGGGAGCATGGGTGGGATGAGGCAGAGGCCCCCACCCCCAGGAGGCTGATGGGCAGGATGGTTTCCATCCTCCCCTGGGCCTGCCCAGTGGCCAAGAAATCAAGTGTATTCAGAAGGTGCTGGCAGAGGAAACTCGGGGGAAAATGCCACAATAAAGAAGCAAGAATATGATTTCACCACCAATTTGAAAGCAGCACCATATAAGGCAGGAGGCTCTTGTTGACTAGTGACGGATGCTCAACTCAAAAGGGAGTTTATAATTTAGGCCAGAAGAAGAACTCATCAGCTAACATAAATAGGCCAGGGTTTTTGTTTTTTTAAAGGCTGAGGCACCTCTAGATTCAGAGGCTTCAATCACATTGTCTGGTTTTTGTCTGTCTCTCCATTTCTTGGCTTCTTCTCTCTTTACCTAGGCTGAGTTCTTCAGACCTCTTCTCCACTTTCATTCCACAGCATCTGGAACTCCTCTCAGTTTAGGGACTTTCCCACGTCCTACATCTCCGCAGGGCATGCACCCTTGAGCTGCGGGAGCTGACGATGTCAGCTGTTTCATTTCCCAAACACCTTTGCAGCTGGAGCTCAGACATGCAACCAAGGCAACAGCAACCAGACAAAGCCATCCTACACTTACTTGGAACTAGATGCAGAAAAAGCAAAGCAAGAGGAAAGAAGGAAGAGCGGAAACGTGGAGGGGGCTTCTCCCTGAGGAGCTCACGTTCCTGGTGGTCTCTGGGGTCCTGTGCGTGGCGTCAGCCCCGCCTGCTGGGGGCCTTGGTCTCCTGAGGTGTAACTGGGAGCCATACACCCAGTTGTTAACGACAGTACTTGATTCTCCAGCCATCCTAGAGATTCCTTTTAATACCAGTGACATTTTCCTAAATGTCTTTTCTGCTTAAGGCATCCAGAGTGGGTTTCTATTGCTCACAAATAAGAACTTGATTGCAAGCAGCTGCCCCAAAGTCACATCCACCCAGCTGAACAAGCTGAGATGAAAAGAAACTTCTCTCCTCTAAGAAGGTCTATCAATCCAGGCAAGGATCTCACAGCTCCTTTGGGGGTCATATGCCAATCATGTCACTAGAAGGATGAGACTTTGGGATTGTCCCAGCTGGGGGAGATGACTGTGGCGCTCATGAAGGACAGCTTGACAAGGGCCTTGTGGATGGAGGTGAGATTTCTCCAAGGAAACAGCTGTGTATGATAAACACTCCTTTTCCATAGAATTTTCCCTAATTAATCACTAATCTTTAAAAACTCACACATATGAGACTGCAAAGAATTGAAAGAAGAGGTCGTGTTTGCTAGTTCTACCTCCTCAGAAGAACAAAATAGGACACCTTAAAGTGAAGAAACCAAGAAATATGCTAAGAGTTTCCTGACTCTGGGTCCCAGAAAAAAGAAATAGGATAAACAGAAGGGCTCTTGTGTGTGGAATTTCTCAAAATAAGGTAAAAGGTTTCTTATCTCCAAATCTATGAACGTTTGTATAGATGTCCAATCACACCTAGAAATTACTAGGAAAACGCTGCTTCTGAACAAAATCACCACCTCACTTTTTCCTGATTATCTACTCATTTCATTTCACCTAGAATGTAGGGAGATTCTGAGTGTCTTATGAGATGGGGACCCCCGAGGGGAAGTTTGCCAGAAAGTCTATCTTTGCCGAGAAATCCACAGCTTCAACCATCATGTGGTGTCACCGCACCCCCAGAGACAGGATCCCTGCCACAAGCCGGGTGGAGTTTGACAGGAAGGTAAAACTCTTGGGAAATTCAGGCCAGCCAGAGGCAGAAAGCCAATTTAGAAGGAAAGTGGGAGAAAGCCAGAGCCAAAGGAAATATGATAGAAAGTGTGTTAAAGAAGGGGAAAGGCAGCGTGCGCTAATTACATCAAGTTCAGCAAAACCCTAATGTAAGCTGTGCCCGCCCCGCAGGAGGGCTCCGCGCTGGATGTTTTCCGTCTGGCTCTCCAGCTTTGCTCCCCCGACCGAGAAGCCTGGGCTGCCTCCCTTCACCTCTGTCTGCTGGCTTCCAGTGGGTTCCACCTGTGGGCGGCGCCAGGGAAAGAAAGCAGAGTAGGAGACAGGAGCAAACGAAGAAAAGAGCTGGGGGGGGGTTGTATGGGCCAGAGCTTGCCGTGTGCCCTCCAGGACTAGGCAGGAAGCGCTCCCTGCGGCGCCGGGCTCCATCCCTGTTGGTTTTCCCGAACCACGCCCACACTTTGCAAACAGCTCCTTTACGGGGTTTTTACACCCCTGAATTACACCGTGTGAGCAAGTCATCGGTTTCCTTCTGGGACCAAGACTGATGCAAAGTCAGAACATCCTGTAAAAGACTTGATGATTGGCCACATTGGAGTGAGTGGTCATGGAGAGAGTGAGGCAAACGGATAAATTCAAAGACAGGAAGAGAGGAAGCAGGATTGGACTGGGGGTGTCCGCTATGCTGTGTTCGGTGCAGACCTGTTCCTCTATTGCACCTGGTGTGGCTGTCAGAGAGGAGAGGAGAATTCACCATCAGTGATGAGGTTTAGGAGTTATTCACAGGTCAGGAGTTAATAAAGCTAGGAAAATAGACAAGGTTGTTTAGGAAACACAACAGGGTGAGAAGAGATGATTGTCACTTAAAAAAGCTAAAGAAAGTCTCAAAAAGCTTACATTTCATTTGAATAACATAGAATATACTACACTTCATATATCAACTTTTATAACTGAAATTCCAGTAAATGTCTTCCAGTCAAGGAAGCACTTTTTTAGAGGCTCTGGTTTACTTACTTCTACCGAAATCTTCATTGTTGCTCATTGCCATCAGAGTGACCAAATGACCCAGAGATAAAAGTGTCCTCTGGAGGAAAAGATTACACATTCTTAATTAGAAGCAATTTCCTTTGGGAAATACAGGCATACCTTGGAGATAGTGTGGTTTAGATTCCAGACCACCCCAATAAAGTGAATATCACAATAAAGTGTGTTACCAGAATTTTTAAGTTTCCCAGTGCATAAAAAAATTGTTTATACTACACTGTAGTCTATGAAGTGTGCAATAGCATTTTGCCTAAAAAAGCAATGTACATGCATAATTAAAAAGTACCTTACTGCTAAAAAGTGCTAAACATCACCTAAGCCTTCAGGGAGTTGAAGTAGTAACAGCAAAGGTCAGAGATCACCATGACAAATATAATAATAATGAAAAAGTTTAAAATATTTTGCAAATTATCAGAATGTGACACAGAGACACAAACTGAGCAAATGCTGTTGGAAACCTGGCCTAGATTAACTTGCCTAACACAGGGTTACCTTAGACCTTCCATTTGTAGAAATCACAATTACCTGTGAAGTGCAGTAAAGCAATGTGCAATAAAACAAGGTATTCCTGAAATCATTGAAAAATAAAAAATTTTAATCCTAAACAATTATACATGTCCTTTATATACTTTTAATCTTATTTTTGTTTTCTTGTAGCATATAAACTACATATCCAAGTAGTATAGCAAATGACAAAAGATGAATGAAACAATTAGCAAATGGCACTAAAGAACAAGATTTGGTGAAGGAATATCATAACAGGGTTTAGAAAACATAGATATCCATTAAGAGATTAATGAAGAAGCAAACCATGACATATCCATACAATGAAGAAGTTCTCCACTATAAAAAGAAACCAATTACTGATACTCAAAAACATTATAAATGAATGTTTTTTAACTGGGTGAAAGTAGCCAGAAACAAACAAACAAAAACTACACTGCATATGATTCTATTGATATAAAATCCTAGAAATTGCTAACATCAGTAGTGACCAAACACGCATTTCAGAGTTTGTTGGAGTCATGGATCAGAGGGTGGAACAGGCAGCAGTTGGAAACACTGGTTGTGATGGTTCTGCATCTGGATGGTAGCAATGGATTCATGAGTGCAGACATCTGTTAAAATCCTTTGAAATACAGGCTTCAAGAGGACACTGAGTATTGTATAAAACTTATGCCTGAAAAAGATGATTTCCAAAGGAAAAAAAAAAAAAAAGGGATGAGAAGAACTGCAGAGGAGAGCTGGTGTATTCCCCAGAACAGTATTCAATGGATAAAAGGGGAAATGGTAGCCAATTGGGGCGGGGTGGGGGGGCGGTGGTGTCAGCCAGGAAGTAGGAGGGAACCAGCGGTGTGAGCTGAGCTGCCCCCTGTGGCTGAAGCGGGGACTGCAGGAGGGAAGAATGGACTGGTTAATAATGCCTCTAAGAGGAAATCTTTTAAGATGGTGGTTGAAACCATTCCACTGACTGCAGCATCTGAGGAAACGCCCATTACCTTTGTTTCCAAAGAGCAGGACTGTGGACCCGGGCAGCCTGGGAATCCGCTAGGGAGGAGGAAAGGGAGGAGAGAGGTCGGCTGCAGAGACCGGGGTTCAGGCATCTTAGATGAGAAAGGAAGACAGAGTAGTAAGATACAAGAGTAACCAGGAGGGGAAGGGGAGAGAATTTTTCTTTGTAAGAGAAACAGGTGACTCTTCACATGTAGAGGGGAATACACCAGCAGAGAGGGAGCATTTTGTCCTTCGAGGCCAAGAGGACGCTGGAGGAAGGACGAGTGGGTGTGTGGACGGATCTTTCGAGAGCAAGAACAAGGAGAGACATTGTGTATCTTATGGCCTCCGTTTTATCAATAAATTAGGAGGAAAGGATATTTGACATAAGCCGTTGGAATAGGATAGGGGCCTTGGGAGATTTTGAATGGTTACAGTATTAGGGTGATGCAAGACCTAGATTTTTTTGTAATCGAAGACCCAGGGGGAGGAGTGTGTGGTATTTACTTCAGGAAGAGAAAACTAACTATAGGTAATATATAGATTAATATAGATAATAAATAGATATGTAGGCTAAGGCAAGATTATTCATACTCATCAGTCTCTTACCTTTTCCCCATCCTACTCTCCTGCCTAGAAATTTATATTCATAAAATTTAAATCTTTAAGTTTGGAGGAGGAGGGGATGGGGAAAGCCTCAGTACCCTCACTGTAGCCACCAGTGATCATGTAATGCTGTATATAACCCTGACTAAAATACAATGAAATGGAAATTAGAAGAATGCCTTTGAGACTATAAACACACACACACAATGATAACATGCTGCATACCTTTTAAACTGACTATATTTCAGCGAGTTTCTCATTCTTTTATAAAGCTGGATTATATTTCATATTCTTGATGTATCAGCATTTCTTTAACCAGAGAGTTATTGATGGATATTTAGATTGTTATCAAGACATTTCCCTTTATAAACAATACTGCAATGAATAACGTGTGTATGCCATTTCGCATGGATACAAATATATCTATGAACTGAATTCCTGGAAATGGGAATGCTAGGGAAGGAGCAAGTGATCTGGTATTTAATATCATATCATTTTACACCCCACAGGCAAAATAGGAGAATGCCTATATCCTCACAACCTCTCTAACACAATACTTTAACAGCATTTTCTATCTTCACTAATCTGATAGTTTTAAAAATGGCATCTCAATGTAATTTTAGCTTAATTTTCATTTCTTCTTGTGTGAGGGATATTGAGCATCTTTTCACACACTTAGGAGTCACACATGTGCCTGACTCTCAGATCTGTCTCTCCACTGCCTTTGCCCATTTTCTATTAGGCATTTAGTCTTTTTCTTATTGAGTTTTATAAATTGCTTATATATACAATAGATCTCACTATTCACAGATTCCAGATTGAAGAATTTGCTCCTTTGTTAAAAATTTTTTGTAACCCCCAAATGCCCACTCTTGCTTTTGTGGTTGTTCACAGACAGGGGAAAAATCTGAGTCACCCAATGTGCACAGCTGAGGTCAAGCAATGCTGTGCCCTGCCCTCTTGTTCCAGCTCTCATACAGTAAAAAATGTCCTTTTCATGGTCTACTTAGTAAGTAGACTATTTTTGTGGTTTTTAGTTGGTGATTTGGCTATTTAAAAAGGCCCCCCCATCTACAGTGCTGAAGTCTGTCTAGTGTTCCTAAGAGCAAGATGACTGTGAAGTGCCTAATGGATAAAATTTATGTGTGTTTGATAAGCTTCATTCAGGCATGACTTATAGTGCTGTTGGCTGTGAGTATGTTGAATAAGTTGTCTTCAAACAGAAACACATAAAATATTAGGTTATATATATGATTGGTTGACAAAAATGTTGTGACCAAAAGCTTTCTGGAAACAACCCTTGTGTTTCCTCAGGAGCAATGGCTCAGGATTTGCTAAGACAGTGTTCACAGTGACTTTTTAGTCAGAACTATCTTGAATAATGCAACCATTTGAGAAATCAGCTCTTTGTGATAAAAGTTGTGGTAATTGTGTCTAGCTTGCTATCCATCTTTTCATTTTCTTTTTCTTTTTTTTTTTAGCAAGGATGTTTTCATTTTTATGTGGGCAAGTTTATGAAGTTACCATAGGCCTCTGGCTATTGTGATTTAATGAGAAGGGGAAAATGAATGAGTGTAATAAACACCTGAGTCCAGGTATTACCTGTCATCTGGTCTGCAGATTTCTGCCCAAACAGAAACAAGCTGATAGAGAGGTAAAGAGAGATTATATGACAGTTACTTCAAAGAGGAGCAATTAGACTCCCAGGGTACTATTTCACTTTGCCCTTGAAATATTTATTTGGGGACAGCATGAGTTTATGGCCTCAATTACATGCATGAAATAAAAGAGGCTTTCACCTCCATTTCTATGTAATTATCAGTAGGAATATTGTTGGCATCACATTTACCCCAACATAAGCTGCAAATGTGCTTTGGGTAAGCATCATCCCCCAAAAGAATGGAGACCCACTTTCTGGCAAGGTGAGGAGTATTTTGTCAATTATCAACTAAAAGAGTCCATAAGTTTTTTTTTTTAGTGAAGTTGCAAGTGACAAATGACTCTAAATTGGAAGTCGCACTTCCAGGACCCCAGTTTGTCAAATCTCAGATGGTGACTGATTTTCAGACACCAATAGTAACATCCTTAACACAGTGGACTGTACAAGCCTTCCCCTGGCCCATAGTCCTCTTGGCCAGTAATTTGACTTCAGCAACAGATATGAATCTGTGACCTACCTGCAAATTAGTCCTGATGATATGGACACAGAGCTGTAGAAAGAAGACTAACAAAAGCATTCAGTTTGACCAACA